CCTGGCTTTCTCATGTCCCATGGGCTATTTTACCACTCCCCAAAGACCAGCCCTGCCTCCAAGGGCTTGCAGTTCACCTCTAAGTTACATACAACTCAACCTGCATCCCTTTAACAGTCCTGTATCCCTGGTCACCACTGGTTGGTTTGAGGCCCTGAGTAGGCTCGGACGGATGAACAGAAGCAGGCCATCCAGGGCTACACGTAGATACCTCCCCAGCACTGGAGGCTGGTCTGCTGTAAGAAAGACAGCGGGGTCCGATCATAACCTAGCCAGGGGACACCCCAGTGCATTTGTTATCTGTAGGTAGGCTAGCTGACCCGTCTCCTTGAGTCATTCCCTTTGGGAAACCCAACTCAACAGTATTGATCTCCGTTTTCACCTCGTAATGAATGACACATTACCTCCACACTCTCCCGGGCTAGGTAATCAACAGGGGCCCCAGGGCTGCTTCCTCTCTTAGGTGGGGATGGGGAGTGGACAGGGATACGGGTCCGAGGAATGAGCATGAATGGCGAGAACACAAGGGAAGAAGTTAAACTGTCACGCAGAAGGTTAACGTTTCCAAGGGTTTCAGTTAAAGGTATTTGACCATTCGCTGGCTGAGCCAGATCAAGGGAACTTGAGAGCTTTTACTGTGATTCTTCAATGTAAAAATAAACAACAATGTCAAACTGTGTTTATATGATTTGTATAAAGCCTTTTTAAGATTACTATTTAAATAAACATTATACCAGAGATATTTTTCTGCATGTTCTTTGTTGGAGACAAAGAGACTTGGGTTCAGGGTGACCAGATCATCCCAGTTTGCCTGAGACGTACCTGGGTTTTAGCACTGGAAGTCTCGTGTCCTGGGAAACTCTTCAATGCCAGCCAAATCAAGATGGTTGGTCATTTTCTTGGGACAATGTTTCTCAACACTTTTATGTGAAGTTAGTAGGTAGAATAGCTACCTGGCTTTTTAGCAAACGAAAATATGATGGGATGGGTAACGGGCTACCTGGCCAGGTGGGCTACTTTAACTTGAAGACTTACCTGGTAGATTTCTGAGACTGTGATCTCAACAAAGAGTCCTTCTCCAGGGACATCACCAGTCCCTTGCAACTTGTGACTCGTTGTTGCTTCCTTCCTGCTCAAACATTTGCTTGTCAATATCTCTGGTGATTTCAAGGTCTCTAAGAGTGCTTCTCAAAGTGTGGTCCCTGGACCAGCAACACTAGCCTCACTTGGGAACTTGTCAGGGGTGTACTATCTCCGTCTCCACCTGGCATCTACAGAATCAAAAATTCTGGGAGGAGGGCCTAGGGATTTGCATTTTAACAAGCCCTTCCGGGCGGTTCCAATGCACTTTCAAGTTTCAGAACCTCCGGTCTCGCAGAAAGGCAAAGTAGCCTGGCTTCCCAAAGTGATTAGGGATTTTTCACCTGTAGGTTATCGGATTCAAGACAAACTAGACTTTGGCTAGAGAAAGCTAAAGGAGGTCAAGGACATTCCTAAATAGCACAAGTTTCCAGGGAAGGAGGAAGGAAAACCCTTACTATGAACTTCCTCCCCACCTCCCTGCACCACGACACACACGCAAATGAGAAACTTGAAGCTGTGAATTGGAGATGAATTTGCCCCAATCCTGAATCTCTGTTCGCATTTGGTTCAGTTTTATCCAAGAAATGTTTTTTAGCACGTCCTGATTTTGTAAGCTTTTGGAGCTTATGCTCCAGTGAAGTGAACGGAAAGCAAACAGTCAAACACTGAAGAGGAGGATTGGTTATGGTAAACTCAATGAAGGTGATAAACAGGTAGCTCTAATAGAGAATTACTAGATATTAAAGGTATAATATTTGTGTAACTTGAGTTCATATTTGCAAAACATGGGATTTGGGTTAATTATATTGACTACAACTTATCCGTTTTATAGTCAACAACACTTATCATGAAACCTAATGAATCTGATATAATACAATATATCTCTCAGAAGCTTTTTTTAAAAAAGAATTACCAAGGCCACTCCCTCTAAAGGATTGATCAGGGAAGGCTTCCCTGAGGAGGTGATATTCAAGCTAAAACCTGAAAAGATAAGGAGTCGGCTAAGCAAAGTACCTGGGCAAGCTTTCCAAACTGAAAAAACAGCATATAGAACAGCATCCTGCTGTGGGAAAGAGTTTGCTGTGTTCCTAGGACCACAAAGCAGGACAATGAAGGCATGAAAACAGCAGGGAAAGGTATCGAGGCTGGGGAGCCAGGTTAAGATTCTTTAAGGTACAGTGAGGAGGTGCTGTCTAACCTGCATCACTCCTTGGTCTTCCTTAACTTATAGAAAAAGCAGCCCCCAAGTGCACCCCCAACCCCATTCCTCATTGTTCAGTAAGATCACCCCATGGTATCTCTGCAGCTTCCTTCTCGGCCTCTCTTGTGATCTTTATGATACCATGTGTCTCCTGAGATGCCGGCTTCTACAGTCTTACTGACCCTAGCGACGATAACAGGTTAAAATGAAAGCAAATTTCTACTTTCCCTTCGTCGAGCTTGTGGGTATTTTTAAAGCCCTAATAAACCAATATCTCCTGGTCCCTAGCCATCCACTGTTTACATAAGATCTTTTTTTTTTTTTCTTATCTGCATCCTTCTGGAAATGTTTATACAATCCTCAGGGGAGGCAGTGAAATGAAGTTGGAACAGGCCCATCCTTGAGGGAAACAGGACCCATCTGGACGCCGAGGCGCCTTTGCCCCAGCAACGTTGGTGGTGGTGACGGGGGGAGGGGAGCTTGAAGAAGACATGGAAAGATGCCTATTTCTGTTCTCACAGGCTTCAGGATCCAGTCGTGGGGTGAGCTAAACTCCTAGGGAAACATTTCCCCGGGGGACAGGGTGTGAGATGAGGGGGTGCCGATCAGAACAGGAAATGCTACCTGTGTGGGTCCCCGGCGCTTCCTTCCCTCCATGAGCGGGTGTCACAGAAACTTTAATGCCCATTCCCACCAGTAAAAGGGAGGGTCCGAAGAAACCTGAGGACTGAGGCAGAGGCGCTGCTTGCCCTGGTTTTCCCACCTC